GGTTGGTGGAAGCAGTATCGATGTTCCAGAATCTGTCGGAAGGTGAAGATGTGATCGATGCATCCCATTAAAGGATGGAATCCAGCTTGATTTTCACGGATCTTTCTCCCCCTGTTTTCAGTCAGCCTTGAGGGATAAAACCAGAGAGGACCTTCGGTGCCACAGCTACAAGGCTGATGCCAGGCTGGTTTACACACATCACCCGCATACCCTTTTTGAAAGTAGGAATAAATGTCAACATGCCCCATTGTGCAGGCACTTTCTTTTTGTTCTAACTAGCACCAATGAGCTTTGTCAGATGGGTCACCAGAGATTTTCTGCCTTCTTTGATGAGGGCTTGATACAGACCGTCCGGTCTTGGTACCTTCTCAAATTTTAGTGCTAACATTTTGTACTTTACTTCTTCTGACGGGCGATTAAGGCTTACATTCCATTCGTCTGTGTGCACTTTCTTCACAGGCTGGTTTGCAGGAGACCAGCTAAACTGCTTTTGAAACTGTTCGGTCCATCATCCCAGTCGACCATTTTGTGGTTTTGCTGACCGTTGTTTTTCTTAGGCCAGTCGGTCATATTTGTTGATACATAGCACGGCTTTTTCGGTAGTAAAGTCCTTCGATATCCACCAGAGCTCCCGGTCCTCACTATGTGGCATTTGAACGCCGCTAACACAGCTCCTTTCACATTTTGCCGCGCTTCATCCACATGGTCGTTGCCCTGTACAGTATTGGCTTACTGTGGAGAATTGTTGGCCCAGCTCACATCGATACTGATGAGCTATGGTAGTTCTTCGAAGACGGTGGATTGGCATGCTTCTTGCTGACCTGTGAGGGAGGGCATGGAGGGAAGCGAACCGTCAGGCGTGCACTAACCACGGCTTGGTCGGAATCAAGTTGTGTGCTCCAGAGGGAACGGTATTCTTGAATTGTGCCTCTGTACCGATGGCTAATGGCCACGTGGTTCAACTGGGTCCACGGTTGAGTTGCAGTTGGTAGCCTCCAGGTTACTCGGTGTGAACGTTTATGTTGAAAGTTCCTACTTGCTAGTGATAGTTGATGGTCAGCACATTATTGTTTATTTCTTACATTATTGGAGGAGTTGCTCTTCGTTGTCCGTACGGCGAGCATCGACTCCGAATCGATCTCCCGAATGTGACCTAGCTGAGCATTCATATCGCCTGCATCAATGAGTCCGGATGGCCCTCGATAGAACGTATTTTTCTCAGAACCAGAACTACAGTCCGTTAGGGTATAAGCCGACACTAGAAAAAGGCACCGCTTTTTATGACGAGAGGCATTGTGCTTGATTGAGCTGGATAGACGGACGGCGCAAAGACGACTAATAACTCGAATCTAGCAAAGCGCGTTCTGCACTGAGGCTGGGTGCAACTCCTACGCCACATATCCCGCGAGTCATCGCTTGAGTCACCGGACGACGGAGGGAGTGATGTGAAAGTCTTGGGTTCATCTTTGGCGTTCTGAGGTGCATAACCACGGTTGAGTCTTATATGTGTGTTTCGGAGACAGCATTGAGCTATACGAAGGGGAGGGGTGTCCCTGCGACACTCACAGGGTCTCATACCAGGTTGATCAATGGTTAGAGGTCTGATGAACAGTCTCCCGGTCCTCCAGGATGGGGATTGGAACACTAGGCAACTTGTTCCGTAGAAATGCATGTGCGTTTCCCGCCAAACACCGCTGCTTTGTAGTTGGGCTTTTGAGTCAAAGGCTTCGGTTGAGAACCCTAATCGTCCTCCTGTTTGTGTGGACGCGCTGACAGTTTCCCAGCCCACACAACCGTGATACCTAAGTACGGCAGCGAAGCATCGGTATTGAGCACTGATGTCATGCTGTCGATGATGATGATGATTCAGGGATTAGGGCATTAATGTTCAATTCTTGATGCGGCTGCGCACAGCAGCCGCCTTTAGAGCAGCACCAAACTCTGGTTTTAAAGATATTACGACCGTATTGAATAATGCGCGGTCTACCGTTTGGCGATCGGAGTGTGCGGTTTTTATGGCCGACCTTTTCTAATCCGTCATTCCTGGGTGAAGACAGCACCGTTGCTTCCACAAATATGGACATGTTGGTTGCTTGGGGGGAACACCTTACTGCCTTCACACTCCTATCGCAGAGTACAGTACGACTTTTCCTCCAAAGTGCCTCGTATTACGGGGTCTCGCTGCTCTTGGTCTGATTGCTCCCCTTTGGCCTTCCTGGCATGGTTACACCTTGTGGAACGAGGTTTCAGCCAGTGTAGCCCGCGGGATCATTGCAGCACTCAAACCCACCACTACGTCAAGGTGCCAGCTTTAGATAGCATCTCCCACCTCCCGTCTCTGAGCTCCATCCACAGAGAACTGAGTTTGCTGGTAACGGCTTCCTTACCTCGTTGCCAAGTCATCGTCCGATCTCCCCTGGCTCGAACCACTCTTCGCGTGGTTCTGCAAAAAGAACCATTCGAGTAAGTCAGTCGACTGGTATACGGAGCACGATCATTGCAGCGCACTCATCTCGATGAGGTGACAGCTTTAGATCAGAACTTTGTCTGATTAAACCCATACAATGTAAAGAAGAAATAAATGTGAATGGGGGAATCTGGGGCTACTTGCCTACATCTCCGGATTGGAGTCTCCGCAGGCGGTAACTCGGCATGCGTAATACATGACCCAGTTACTTGCCCTTACAGTGGCGAAACTCGGCATGCGTAATACATGACCCAGTTACATTCTTTGCATTCTTTGACGGGAACTCATCCGAAATCCCGTCTCTTGATCAAATTGTTGCGAATTCGCTGCTGCCAACCGATTGCATCAGTCGTTCCGAGACATCGGTGGTCAAAGACCTGAAGATGTGGCAGATCCTCCGCCTGAAGCAGTCAAGTTTCGCAGTCATACAATAATGCAGCCCGCACTGTAGTCCGATAAACGCATCTTTTGATATCCAATGAGATGTTTTTTGATGTTACAAGCGGCGCAAATCGGCAGACGCAATTCTGGTATTCGACATTTGTGCGTTGGCTTAGTGTGTCTCAGTACCGTCAGTGCTAATGCAGCTCCCAAGATACGGATATCTTGCAGAGTTTCCGACGATGCACATGCAGTATCATGCCAACCCCATTCAGCAATGCTAGTCGCACCGATATCATTCAGATATTGCGTAAGCGCTTCCATGCCTTTCTGCTAGATAAAAGACTGGCTGTCTTTCTTAGTTGCTGCACTCTGAATTAAGGACCGAATACAACAATGTTGTCGGCAAACGATGCTTCGACATGTGCGTTACATGGGTTTACCACGACAGCTTTTGGCTCTGAACATTTTTCGATTGAAATTCATGTTGCGTAGCCAGACACTTATTCTCCATTTGTATCGTTGCGGATTCTCTTGCATCAGTCCATTCGAACTTTGGTTCTGAGGCAGTAGTTATCGCTGATGACTTATCAGTTTCGCTACTCTTAGAGGCCACTGTCATCTGTAAAACGAAACAGCCCATACTATGGCGTGATACATACATGGTTTGGGATTCTGGAATATGCTGCTACTGTGCAATAACTTCATTCGTCGCACTACACGGAGCGAGATGGCCCAAGTGTTTAGGGCGCGAATTTACTGATCAGAAGGTCCGTGGTTCGAACCCGACCTCTGCCTCTTGACTCTTCCTGTCTAGGCCTGGGCAACCTGGCAGTATCCCAGCCCTCGTGTTTCCTTCTGGTGGCATAGCAGCTAGGCACCGGAAGGATGCTACAGCTGAACGATATTTTTTACTCGGAGCTTGTACAACTTTCAAGGTGGGTGGAACGCTCCAGAACCTTAAGTCTTTCCATGGATTTTAAATGGCCTATTCAGTGATGGATGTTCAGGTGCATGACTTCACAGCATGTGGGTGCCAACAGTTTGTCAAAAACGGGAGCAAATTGGTCATTTCATCCAAAAATGCATGCGCCTTTTTCTCCTCTTCGTCTGCATATTCTGGGCGGACAGGGTTATTGTCAGCAGCTATTTGGACACCACGGTTTTTTATGGCCTTACAGCGTTCGTCTTATTATCCTATAGATCAGGAAATTGAATAGGAACTGAAAGAGTGGGCTTCCTTGTCGGACTCTGTTTTGTGTACGGAAGCTTTTGCAGAACTCTCTCACACCTCCGTAGGTGTGAGAAAACTATCGAAAGAAGTCAGCCACTGCTCCCATCTTGATGTGATCAGTAGATCATACTCTCGATTGAATCTAGAGTTGCCCACTCATCCCTCTCCGACGTGTTCGCTAGGCGAATTGTACTGACACTGAAGTGTGATCAACGTACAGTTTTCGCAGTTGCGGAAACTAAATAAAAGGTGCTGAAGCGATAGTGGGCTACAAAGCGATCCTGGATATTCGGTCTATGGTGTCCCCTTATAAATATATGGAATTGAATCCCGTTAGCTTGAAAATCGCTGACTGCGGAGTGGTCTCCTTTGTACATGGGGAATTCTACATGGAAGTCTAAAGTAGCTTCAAAAGAATTTCTCAGTGCTTGGGAGTGACTGGATGTGCTATATGAACATGAAGGATTGTGTTTGAATCTTTCTCTCATCATTGGTTAGTGACTCGCGTAACGGTTTGTCAGAAGAGCCCGACAGAGAATTCAAGGGAAAAAGTCGTTCAGCTGTAGCACCCTTTTGGTGCCCAACTGCTTTGGCATGAGAAGGAAGCATGAGGATTGGGGTACTGCCAGGTCGTTCGACCCCATACAGGAGAAATCGGGAGACAGATGTCGGGTTCGAACCATGGATCTTTCGGTCAGCAAATTCGCGCTCTAACCACTGATGCAACCTGATCAGACCACCGGGTGTCCACCCTATGTTTTAGACCTTTTTCTAAACTATTGACAGCTGGTCAAGACCAACTATCTTTCGCCATCAAACTGCGAGTTGTAAGTCCGAGTTGTTTTTTGTTACATTGTTATTTATTAGGGCTGGGGGTCGCGGATTAGTGATGACACGCTTTTTCTATCTTACGTTATAGTGTGGAAGCCCGCAACTTCTGGTCAACATTCTTGTTGCACTCGGTTTCGCATGAACCATCATGGCACAGCGATTACTGCAGTCGTTTCGTCGAATTCCCGGCCATTTGGCATCTTTTAGGAAAAAACCGGAACCTATTGAAGCTCATGGAAGCTCGTACAAGATAAACGTCGTAGGTTTTCTCTATTTGCTAAATTTACTTAAGTGCGCGGATTACGGTTTTCCTGCCAAACCGACTTCCATTGCCTACGATCCAACGTTAGATCTTATCGCGCTACTAACGCGAGATGGAAACCTCTACATGTATCCTTTTTTCCAAAACTCATCAAGCTTTTCGGTTTGTTTACGTTTGTGACAGAGGCCCTGGACTTGTATTCTACTTTTATTCTACCAAGCCAGGTCACCTCTACATGGTGCAAGGTAGGAGCTGACGTCAACGTTTCCAAACACTGTCTTCTTCTTATTTTTAAATAGTTTATTTCTTTTTGTCCACAATAGACTGAAAGAGCATCCGGTTTTTATCGGTATTGGCCATTCAGTTCTTTTTTTAAAGTCACGTTTTCCCGCAATCATTTCAAGTTCGGTTTGGCTAATACTGAAATTTTATCCCAATGATCAGTAAACACTGATGGTGCGTCTGTTCTAAAGCAGATATCTGTGTTTCGAAGATCCCTTGTGAGCAACCCTGACACTCCACCTCATACCGTTAGCGTTCTTAGATCGTTTTTGATATATTATCACGGCAGGTTCATTTTTTATGAAATCACTCCTCACAAGTGACAGAATTCCTTTGGTTGCTGATGTTTACCAACCTGAGAGGTTTTCATCACCGTCGAGCACACTAGAGCAGCAATAGTTGGTGACGTCAGACTGAACACTAACCATCGCCGAATGGCTCCATTTTCGCACTACTACCTTCGGTTAGACGTGAGATACACGAAAATTGGTGCGCTGTCATTGAGTGTGTGATTCGGTCACGTAGTTGTGAGCTGTTAGTGGCCCGAATCTGTTACCAGCTCACGCCCGTTCTAGAAAAAAATTGTTCAGCTGTAACACCCTTTCGATGCCTAGCTGCCATGCCACCCGAAAGGAGCACGAGGGCTTGGATACTGCCGGGTTGCCGAAACCTAGACACGAGAAGTCAAGAGACAGAGTTCGGGTTTGAATCACGAACCCTCCGGTCAGTAACTTCGTTCTCCAACCACTTGAGCCGTCTCGCCCATTCTAGAGCAATATGTGGATTCTGTTCAATACGTACCCGTAGCTTGGTTGGTTGCTGGTTGACGTAAAATAAACTGACGTATTCAGTGTGTAGGTAGAAAAAGTGGAATGGCTAGAACATCCTTTGGACCGAATACAATCTTTCTATCATGCGAGGGTTCCCCTAAATAGGACTCGAATTTTTTTATCAAATCGTCTGTGAAATTTGAAGACATCATTTGAGTTATCTCACCATTTGACCTGATTCGTCAAACAGACTGAATACGGATATCCGTAAGTGAAGGATGACATCGATCGCTCCTACAGTTTTACTCCAATCGGATCTATTTCATCCTTTCTGACTGCGTACTTGTTGGCTTCCCTGTTGGCTTCTTCGGTGAGTCATCTAGCAGAGTTGGTGACTATGTACTCGCTCGCCAATGGTAGCACAGTTACTAAGTGAACGTTATTATGTCCTATGGGCTACTTCCCGGCCGAAATTATCGTCGGCGTCACTCAAATGACACCAAAAAGTATACTGATGGCATTACGACCAAGCCTGTTAAAACCGGTATTCACATTTTATCCTTTGTCAGCTAAGTGTTCAGTATCGACTAACGCAGCTCGCGTGGGTGAACGCATTTCTTTGTCATTTTATTATCATTCGAATGACAATAAATCAAGCTTTAGTGCATCTGGTGTTGATCAAGTGGCAGTTGATCTGTTCATCGAGCCTGGCAATTGGCTTGCAAACGTTCGGTCACCATACTAGAAGACATCGTCAATACATCGTTGGTTGGGTTGGATAAACAAACAATTAACCCAACGGAGCTATCAATAGTTGGACACGTTCAGTGTATCCGTAAGATGTCAACAGCAAGGCAGTCCAGTTCTCAATCGTATTATACGGGTATGGTACTGGAATGGATTCACGTTTTATGTGTAAAATAACGGGTTCTGGTGTCACACATTGTACACATTGCACATTGAATATTTAACCACTGACGTACATAAAATTCGAGTATTTGCTGATGATAATGGCAGCTGATAATAATTTTCTGCGTTTCTCATGTTTTGTTCGGCTTTTCGTTGGTTTGCGTGTTATCAGGTTTCGAAATCCCAGTAATCTGACTAAATGTCCACGTACTCGTTGCTGACGGGGAATACTGTCCCTCTGTTTGGAGGGGTGTTTTTGATGTTAGTACAAAATGTTTTTATAGCTGGAAATCATGTTTGCAAACCTCAATCACAGCGGGGAAAACTTGCGCCTACCGTTTGTAGTGATGTACAGCCTTGGTGCCTAGTTTAGGCATTGTTATCTTCCTCCCAGGTCTCCTAGAGTAGCATTTGTTGGGAGTTGGTGGTGGTCTCTCAAAAGTTACCGATTTCAAACTAGATCCTACAGGACCGGAGCGAAGCGGTCTTAACTGGGGCTTCCAATGTATTTGCCTTGTTCTGCTCATGGGTTCTACTGGGGTAAATAAAAACATTTGACTGCACGTCGGACAAGCCAAAGAGATAACCTTTTGGTATTTTATTTAGATGGTTTTGATCTCAATGTGCTTTAACAACGATTCGTTGTCTGAGCAGAGGGGTGGCCCCTCCACGGCCCTGAAATTCAAGGGATAAGCTACATGCTGTTGCAAGAGGTGATTTCGGTAATTGCGACTGACCAACGGTTGTTTCATAAACCGGTTTCATCAGACACTTATAAATGTTCAGTCATTTTAGAACGGAAACTACCATATAGGTCTGAAATATGGTCGTGGGGAGTGTATTCTAAAGTACGGTAATACGCCGGGTGCTGAGTAGGTTGTATTTCGCATCGGTATGGAAGTACGAATCAAACCTTAATAAGTTATTTGCCTATTCAGACGACTGACGCTGGTGGTAATGTTACGGATTTCAGGGGTGGCTCTACTTTTGCAGACCGGCTAACTTTCGGTCACGCCAACCAATAGTATTGATGGATTTTATTTGACAAATAGGCACCAAGTCGTTCGCTGCGGGTTTTACCTTGATGTTTCATCATGTGCAGAAAAATCAATTCTTTCATAGTCAACTGAGTCACACCGAAAATCGTTATGACCTCTTGTTTTGGTCACCTGGTTGTGCCATAGATTAAATAGTATATCTCCTCTCTCCACCCATTATATTTCTTTAACCGATATTCTTCCTAGCTACGGTAAACCAGGTGTTGTGTTTAAAGGTAGTCACAGCGCAGTCGCAGAATACATTCAAGTGTTATTTCTCAATGGAAGCGTAAGTTGTTTCGGTGCACGTGCTTAATCTTATTCTAGCGCAAACTAATTACGCTGACCGATTCCGATGATATTTACCTTTGGGAGCTCACCTCAACCACGCAAGCCTCAGTTCGCTTGGTGCAAATCGCTTGTTTGCGAGAAGCTACCTCTTCTTTGCGTTCTAACTCTGTCAATGGTGTAAACCACTCGGATTGCATCGCGGTTACTGATGGGTCCGTGCACATCACATCCATTTGTTGCACATCAGATGGCCGAAGTTTCCTCATAGGTACAGACCATGGATGGGTAGCGTCTGTACGTTTGAACTTACCTTCGAAATCGAGCATTCCATCGAAAGATTTCGAATATTTAACTCTACCGACGCCTGAGGACTCAATCACCCCGGCGAGGATACTGAGCAAGTAAGCAGTCTTTTGTCTACATTCTTCCCGAATGAGGGAATTATAGTCTTTTTTGGAGTTGCTTAATAAGTTGTCAGCGATTTTACACTCTTGGGTACCCTTGACTGTTGGGTAGCTCGTCGCTTGCTTATGATCCTTTTTGAACGACTACATGACTGCGAGTCTCACGGAGGTATAAAAAAGCTACGTGGAGGCATTGATATTTCCAACCAACAACCCCTTTTCAGGCAACATCAAGAAGATCCGTTAAGTGCCAGTAGTTCTCATTTTTACTCATTCCTCAGCACCCTAAATGTCTTTTTACATATTTTTAAAAAAAACAATATTGCGCCAAAATTAGAACAACCAGATGGCCGAAGTTTCCTCATAGGTACAGACCATGGATGGGTAGCGTCTGTACGTTTGAACTTACCTTCGAAATCGAGCATTCCATCGAAAGATTTCGAATATTTAACTCTACCGACGCCTGAGGACTCAATCACCCCGGCGAGGATACTGAGCAAGTAAGCAGTCTTTTGTCTACATTCTTCCCGAATGAGGGAATTATAGTCTTTTTTGGAGTTGCTTAATAAGTTGTCAGCGATTTTACACTCTTGGGTACCCTTGACTGTTGGGTAGCTCGTCGCTTGCTTATGATCCTTTTTGAACGACTACATGACTGCGAGTCTCACGGAGGTATAAAAAAGCTACGTGGAGGCATTGATATTTCCAACCAACAACCCCTTTTCAGGCAACATCAAGAAGATCCGTTAAGTGCCAGTAGTTCTCATTTTTACTCATTCCTCAGCACCCTAAATGTCTTTTTACATATTTTTAAAAAAAACAATATTGCGCCAAAATTTAGAACAACCGGACTCATTTGGAGGGCAACGCCACTAGCCGTAAGCGACGTGGATCAGCTTTCGAATACCGTTTTTTCCCATGAGTCCACTCACACAGCGTTGTTGCTAGTTTCTATCTCCCTAGCTTGGTGCTCGATTACCACCATTCTGGAACACCATTTTGAATACAGCTACCACATGCTCTGCTCCCCTTATTTCTTCAACTTTGTGTAAGTGATCAAAATACGGCCTTATCCACACTCTATCCGAAACTCTGACGGATATGCCTGAGGCACTAGAAAAAGTCCTTCAGAATGCTCTCTACAATACTGAGACATTTACGGTTAAGTGCACCAAAACTAGGTCTAGTGCTTATTCTTAGTTTGAGCTGTGACCTTTCGAATCTCAGAGAAACGCCGGTTCCAATCGTTGGTATCAAAAATAGTGGACAGTGCGGGTGGTTCCGACGGGATAGCATCATTTCACGTACTGTTAACTACTGCAATTAGTCAGTGAGCTATCGTTATCCAAGATTATCTGTAGAAAATCTATTTGTTAGACCGTGTCGTTCTCTTGGTGCTCAGTTTCAGGCTTGAAAAGGAACGGTTTTCGGGAAGGAACTTAACGTTTTCTGCTCCAACTTCGGATGATGTTTGTTCTGCTGATAACATACTTTCCTATACTTCAGAACTTTTGCCTCTGATTTATCTGATAGGGCACTTGGTACTGTTTAATCCATTTCTGTTTCCATTTTACTTTCATTCTTCAGTCTTTCTCCTACTCGTCATCAGCGTTTGCGGCTGGACGCCGTCGTAGTTCTTTCTGAAAGACCTGGATTTCCTGGACAGCTGTTGATAGGATACAATTCAGGCTTGAGTTTGATTTTCGATCTCAGAGCTGACCGGATCGTTGCTCTACTGCAGTGGAAACATCACCTCGAGGCAGCCACTTGGTGTGGAGGAAGTGGTTTGCCATCACGGACGGCACCTCCCAACGCCTCTCCAGTCCACCTGGGAATGCGTCTGCTAACTGCGCATTCGGATGGATCGCTTGGGGTTTGGAACCTGAAGGATATTGGGTTCACCGTAGTCACTTCTTCACCAGCATCTGAACCGCCATCGTTGACTATGGAGGAGCCACCTACAATGCCATACGGTAAGTCTCTACTGAATTTAGATTTGTTTGCTTACAGTATTACGTGTTTCTTCGCTTTCAACGACTCAAGGCATTCGTTTATTTCATCTTTCCCATTGCCCAGCACGAGTGCGACGCTGTTCAGGTTCACATGCCTCTTCAGATTTTCGGTATTTTTTTTCTCTACCTTTTGTGGCCCGATTTCGTCAATATCAGGAATTATGCAACCTACACCGTCCGTGACGGTCTTTGCCCTTTGTACTGTAGTGCACCCAATAATGACTCGTGGCGTCCAAGCCACCTGTCGGTCGGTAGCTGCTGCTATCACGTCTTTTCCACAAGTTTCCGCTGTGCGCAACTGTCAACCAACCACCACCATCAGCTGCCTGTTTATGCGGTTCACACTTCTTTTCTGTCCGTGTTCCTACTCACAGAGGACCATTTGCTTTACATAAATTCGTCTCCCGCCGCCGTTTTGCGACCTTGAATAACCTTTGCAACTGGCACTCCTCGTAATGAATCGATGCATGTCGCTGTTCGCATATCTCGTGTGCACGCTGTTTTAGTCTTTTCTATGGGTACATTCTCTTTCAGGACCATTTCCGTGCAAGCTGATCAGCAAGGTCTTTTGGCTACCATCACCATCGTAAGTGACCACATGTTTTTTCAATGACTGCTTTTTCCATTTGGTGATTCTTATGTAGCTGTAAGTGGGATCGATCTATTCTTAAAAAACTGGAGGCGGTGTACGGTTGTTTCATACTTTTTCCGATTCATCAATAGTGCATATCCCACGAAACTGCGAATTTCCGGTTGATAGCAGAACACTGTGTCCTCCCACCACGTTTGGCTCATCAACAATGTGGTTAACTCCTATTTAGGTAGAGTATAGATCCACTCAACCACTCAGCTCACGCCACTTATTTCGGCTTTTACTGCCTCATTGGGCGGTGACATCTCAGATGGAAAACCCATGCAGCTTCCAAGATCATTTCTTCAAGTGTTAGAGAATACCCGTAGTAGTCATCAGAACGAAAACGTAGTTAACAAAGCTTGGTCTCTGTGATGGTGATCAGATGATCACAAACTTGTGAAAATAACCAGTAGTCACGTGTCACGGGGACAAAGACAGTGGACGTAACACGAGTCACTCAGAACATCCGGCGCCGCCACTCGACAAAAAACGGATGACGGTGCTGTCAGACGTGAAACTGTGGCTGAACTGATTGTAGGCCAACACAAGTTCAAAGGTCGCATCAGCTTTTCCTTAACAGAGTTCTTGATTACGCAAATGAATTCTGGCTGTCTGAGCAGTCAATAACAGCGAAAACCTCCATCAGATACGTAAAAAATCAGTTTAGGACAGTCAATTACAGTCGGAATTTCAAACAGTCGTGCGATAGCTCCTTGTTAGTCATGTTTCTCATGTTAATTCCCCTTAATTATTCGAATATATTCGACTGAAGCATTCTAGCGAACATGGTAAACATGTTTGTTCTATAACTTAGATCATAATGAACAAATATTCAAATAAATTCAAAAACTGTAATATCCTGTTGCAAATATGCACTCTATTAAACCAATGGAGAAAGTGGCTGATTAGGCTGTTACTATCTGGCTATCGTTCTTTTTCGCATCCTGTGTTTCAGCTCCGTCACTGTCAGTCCGTATTTCAACTGTGACGTGTTCTAGCAAGTAGCATTTTCTCTTCATGGCTGCCTGAACAATGGCCAAACCAATCAGTATGGGCCTCCGAGTTTGGAGCGACAGTTTATCATCAGGGGTTTCGATAACAATCATCTAATATGTAGCCAACTAGTAGACCTGGGTCAACCGCATAGAACACCTCTATCGTGATGGTTCTTCTTGGGGGTAAAATTAGTTGCCAGTTTTGCAGGTTAGTTCCTTGAGTTGGAATTGCAATCGCGAAAAATTCCGTGCCATCGTAATTGTTCTCCCGAGAGTGTTTCCTTCTGCGGGATTCCCTTGTGAAGAATCTTACACTTTCTTGCATCCACCTGTTTCCTTCATATGCTGAACGATAATAAGACTGGATTTTGCGGCAACGATTTCAGCTACTTCTATCTTTAGTGGATTTTCTCAAACTGCTTTATGATAGAACGGAAAACAAACATCAAGGTGGACGACGAGTCTGCAGGTTGTCTCGAAGTGACTAGGCTCCACTATTTTTCTTGTAGAGAAAAAGCCTCAATCTCTACTTCGAGTAACATCAAGTGCTCGATGCCTGTTGTAGCGAATAAATAGTTTCTAAGCCAGGATGTGGTTTAAATTTACCCTTAGTGGTTGTGATAGAATTGGATACTGCTGGTTTCTAGTGCTTCATTACTGAAAGTTGTGGTAACTTTGCACCATGTACTGTTCGTTGTGGCTACCCATTAAAGAGCAGAAAGACTATGTTGACTTAAGTCTATTGAACTGTCTCCAAGATATGCTGATCAATGCTTATGTGCACATATACGTCACGCTCTAACGAGGCCTCGCGTTGAACTCCATCTTGGGTGCTTAGAATCTTTTCTGTGTATGATTGCTGAGTCACTGCCTTTCCGCACATTTCTGCTTGGTGGAGAAGTGTGTAGGAATCTTTTGAGCGATGTATGCTTAGACGTTCGATCACGTTGCAGTTTCACCCTCAGCACCGTCTAATGAAATGACGTATGAAAAATGGCGTGCGTGTTAATTTTTTTTCTGGAACTCGTTGTATTTCACTTGTCTGCATCTGCACATGTGCTTAAATGATACGTTTGCACAGCACGGAGATGACCCGAAACGGACTCAGTTATGTTCTGTCGCAACCAACACATCTACGGGGCAGTTCTTAGGTCTGGTAACTTTGAACGGTAGTCGTTTGTAGAGTGTTGCCTATACGGATTTCTCTCACCTGACTGACAACAACGTAGCGAGGAGTGTCCTAAGAGTATTGTAACGTAATATGCTGTTCACCCCACAGCCTAACGTTTCATCTGTATCGAAAAAGTTAGACAGAACACTTTTTCCGACTACTTTAACCCCAAATCGCTCCCTTAATTCCTTTCGGTTTCTCTTGGTTTTCGGTCTCAACAAGACACAGGCTTAGTCCCGACGCATCCCTTTTCAATGATTCCTATTAATCCGACGTTTCCAATTTCAAGGCGCTTTTGCCATGATAGCAGTCAATTTAGTTAATTCTACATTTAGACCCTCAAGGATCCTGGCGTCCGTCGGTCGAGCATCCCGAAAAACATATCGTTTGTCCATCTATTAGCTGATTTTCTATATCTCTTCGGGATTCCACGTTCATTGCTACACCAATTTGAACCTGAGTGATTCAGTATCAATTCAAAATCAATCCATTAATTTGCGATTGATTCCTTGTTCGTCCGTGATCTGCTCCATTCTCTACCTTCGTGTGCATTGCATACTACCACCGGTGCTCGTGTGTTTGTGTGTGTGTTCGGAGGCGTCAGAATCACTGGATGCTACATGTGACCAAATCAGGGTCGAGTGCTCTGTTTACACAAACAGAGCGTGTGCACAATAACACACGCGATTTCGGTACCGGGTTTTTGATCTTGAGCTTCCGCCTTTCTAGCTATCTCTTCAGTGAAATCGGTAACTGAATCCCGTACATGGAGAGGAGCGGTCTGTTCACTCTATCCGTTATCATCACACCAGTTAACTCTATAAGCAGGCTTCAGAGTTCATTTGCTTAGTTTTTAATTCGCGCCTCTTCTTGGTTAATAGTTGTTTGCTATCCAGCTCATCCTAGGACTTCGGTCAGAGAACGAAATCTTTCCACATGTAACTGTGCCAACCCAATAAATAATGGGTTCAATGGGCTCTTCTGTGAACGACTTGTGACGAAACCCTTGCTGTCATCCACTGTCTATGTACGATTTTACCAGAACCTTTTGCCCACAACAAAGCAAAACATTCATTTTCAAGGAGTTTACTTGATTACTGGTGTTTTTTATTTGTTCTATCGATGAAACGCTTTCACCACAACGATTCTACATCCTCCCGTAGCTTAGTAGATCTCACTAGTCTCCACCATACACTGGCTTCCTATGCAGCAACCCAATGGTGCTGAAGTTCCCAGTTACCCTGATCTTCCATGGCGTCCCACTGCATTTCTGCCTATCCGTACATCAATTTCTATCTTTGGCTTGAGCGACAAACTGGACGCACCTTGCTCCTCAATAGCTGAGGGCGATAACATTTGTTTCCTTCTGGACAATGATACGGTTTAAAATGGTCTTTTCTGACAGGTGTTCTTCCTGGTTGAGGGCGACTGTATGATGAGCTGGACTGTCAGAATTCAGATTCATTTTGATAGGTTTTTCGGAAGTGGAAAGTGAACTTGCCACTACGTACTCTATTCTTTGTATCTGCATTGAGCCTCCCAAGTAACTGATTGATTGGGTCATGAGTAGAACATTGGATAGGCGAATATCCCCGTCTTTAGGGGTTCGGGGGAGCATTGTCAGTTGTCTGATGGTGGTTTGTGACGACTAGTTCGCCAGATGTATGGAAATCTTCGGGCAGTTACACACGTTCCCGAGCTGCCGTCTTGATCAATGCGGCGTTAGTTTCACTTTCTCGTCAACAGGGGGCGAGACGGCTCAGTGGTTAGAGCGCAAATTTGCTGACCTGAAGGCCCGTCGTCCGAACCCGTCTCCTGCCTGTTGACTTTCCATGTTTAGACTTAGGCAACCTGGCAGCATCCCAGGCCTCGTGCGTCCTTCGGGTGGCATGACAGTTTGACACCGAAAGGGTGCTATAACAACGATTTTTCCTCGTCAATAAAGCCGTTCTCTTCGATTTGTATCTTAGAGATGAATGGCCCTGTTGATCGTTATACAAGTATAATACCCATGTTTTTTCTGATTGTTTATCAGAATTTGATGGTTTCCATGTCGTTCCGATAATCGGCTGTTGCAAAGCGTCTTTGCAGCGTATGTGCGCCGTTCACACCAGCTACCTTAGATTAGGGACTTCACTCCCGTGTGCAAAATTTTTCCAGCGATCAGGAACTCTGTTCTTCTCTACCAGTCATGGACTTCGTGTCATTTTCCAATAAACTTTCTTTTCGCATATCTTGAAGTGGTGGTATCACGGCATTTGTTGGAGGGATGCCTCGCGCCACTTACGGAGAACGCCACACAGTCAGCCTGCTTCGTGGGTCGAACTTAGATCGTGCAGCAGCAGCCAATTTGGTGGCGGCACGCATTGCTGCAGTTGTGGAGGCAGATGACGATGACGACGATCTCCTCGACTCTAATCTAGCTCCAAGCACACCGATGCACGTATTCGATCCGGACGCACCCGAGCACGTCTGTTTTGATTTGCCTTCGAGGTTGGTGGATCTGCTTCCCGTCGGTCCAGTCGGGGGTCCTGCTCAGATTTTACTTATCCTTTGTGAAGAAGAACTGGTGGTTGTGGATTTGTTCACGCCTGGTTGGCCTTTTATGCGTCCACCCTATCTGACCTGCCTCCACACAGCTAATATCACCGCCCACAGTCTTGTCACACAGGTAAGCTTCTTTCAATGGCTTCTGTGTGTTTAGTACTATTAAGTCATTGGAAATGGTCTGCTGACTTGTTCTTATCCTAGCCGCCGTCCCTTTCCTATGAGTGACAACCTGTTTGATTTTTTATCGCTTCCAAGGAGTTGAACTTAATTCGATAGGCAAAGTATCATAGGAAGCTCTATCCATGAGATAGCCATTACTTTCCTTTTGGAGTTATCCTTGTCTATCGTGGTCTTCAGAAGAGCCTACGCAATACACTCTATACAGGTCTTTATTCGCTTTTGTTTGATGCTTTGTTGTTCGATGCGCTTACTTTTGACCTCGAGACGGTTTACAGACCGGAAAGTCCATGGTTCGAGCCCAACCTCAGCATCTCGACTGCCCCTGTCTAGGCTTGAGCGGTATCCCAGCCCTCTTTTCCCCTCCAGTTGGCATGGTAGCAAGGCCCCGAAAGGATGCTGCAGCTGAACGAACACAAAGCACGTTCATGCATATAGAAGTGACAATTTATCTACTCAATGGCCAACTTATCAACTCTCATTTCTGCCTAACTTATCAACTTGTTCGTGGCGCAGTGATCTCCCTTCCACAAATGGTGGTCATTGATGACCATGGTTGATGTCTCCTTGATTGACACTCAAACCTTTATAAACCAACTTCCAGGTTGGATGAACAGATCGACAATCATTTGGTCAACAACTAATGATCACCAATAGTTTTTAGTTTTGTCTAATGGTCGTATAGTATGGCTTCACTATCAATATTTTACTTCCTGCGCACACAAGTCACTGACTGTGACCTTAGGAAGCCCCAATCCAACAATAAACTGGTGGATTGAGGGAAACAGATTCGTCAGTATGGAATGATCATCCGTCGGTGAACCGAAAAATCAACATCATACCGAAACTGGATATCGCGGGCAGGACCAGATATGCCACAATGTATATCAGACTGAAAGGATTGATGAGTTATTCGATGTAGCGAAAAGTTTCGACTGAGACCGCGGTTGCCCAGTGTTTTCTATCCTCACTAATCACCACCGCTTTCGTCTTTTGGGCGTCGACCGTCATACCAGTTCTTTTCAACTTTGTCGCAGCAGCTTCAAGCTTCTCGTTAAGGTGAGCCCAGTCATAAGACCCAGTCGTCAACGGAGGCGAAACCATCCACTAGGGTATTATGGAACTTTTATCTTAGTTGCGCCATCGACAATTCAAGAGTCTCATGCACTGTCATGGGTTTTACGGCCAACTTTCTCACCTGTGATTAGCTCGGTCAAATTCCAATCGGATGGTAGTACTGCCTGGCTTGGCTGGTTATCCACTTGTCTTGGAGCAAAGAGCACTAATTTCTAATACCGTTCAGCGCCCAACGGTATGCCGAAGTTGCCTTTGTATGGTCCCTCCCACGATCCATTGAGCACAACAGACGTTGAATCTCTCCGTCTTTGGTGGAATGGGGTCTTGATAGCGGCGTATCTGGCTCGACGTATCTGCTTTCCGTTAGCCGCCACCCGATGGGCGTGCTGATGGCGGCGGCGGGAGACAGGTTTCCACGTGTGTGGAAATGTTGTGGATACTTCAAGGTCCGAAAGTGACAGGGCTTGCAACGGTGTCTTGATGCCCGATTGCAACCCTCGGAAAAATTCCAGAAGGTCAACACTAGGGAGCGAACTGTCAGAAGTGGTTTCCAAGAATGACACGTCTGTCTCGATGTTGGTTCCCTCGCCTATCTTCCTCATGTTTTAACCGCATTCTCTATGTTGTCCCTCAACCGAATTAAAAACTAAAATAGCATCTGTGGTGTTTCTACGATATATTTTAACCTCTTTGTCCGCTTGCTTCCATCACCAGGCTATGCCAGGCAAAGCCATTTCTACATACGTGGTTACATCGATCGAGCTGTTTTTCTTTGTTATTCCCGGTGTGCGACCGACCTAGAAAGCCTGTGAATCCACTGTCATGATGACACTTCTTTCAATAGTGTGCAGTCACTAAACACCCCCGTTCGAAGGGAAGAGGCCTGGCAACGATCATTTTTATTTTAGTTCTTGTCATACCTAACTATACCGAAAAACGGTGACTCATACGTTTCTCGTGCTCTATGTTAGTCAGTATATTTATTCGCTGTTGTGAGGTTGCTCCGTATAAAGCCAATTTGGCATGAGCTAACAAGCCTCCACAGGAAAATCAGCTGTGCACACTTCGCAGTTCGAACGAAGAAACATGCTATTGAGTTGCTAAGCATGTTGAACTCTTCCTTTAGCCCTAAGAAAAGGTTGTATTCCACCAGATTAGGTTCCGCGGGTGTTTTTATGGGGGATCTGGCTGTTGCTTTCTGTTGTCTCCAACATCTTGCTGCCTGCTTGATGGTTGACGGTGTGCTGTTTGGTGTTTGAATGGCCTACTGTGTACCGATTTTCCCAGCTGCACCCACCCTTACCGAAGACTCCTTTGGTAGCTTTTTAATGCCGTTTGGAATACTTTTCCAGACCATTGGGGTATGTTTTTAGATATATTACCCTTTGGTGACGAGAAGCTGGAGTCTTTTCGAACGTGTGTTCCGGGCCGATTATGTTGTCAGTGCACCGTACCATACTTTTTCGGCCTTGTAAGCGGTAGTGCCTCCTAAGTTGTTGGAGGCCTGTCTTGGTTAGCGAAATCACTAGCCCGTGTCACAACTACGACCATGCTTCCGCGGTATTCGAACAGCCGCATTGTCAGGCATTGAGCTTTTGAACCTTGTTGCTGCAACCATCGAGTTGTCCACACTGGAGGACCAGGGAATATTTTAAACTTGGTCATTCGGCTTAACGGTTGCACTGTGTTGCTGGAAGTCTCCTGTGAATTACTTTGGTCGGACCTAAAAGAATCTGTGACAGAGAAAGTGTTCCGCATCCACTACGAAAAAACAATGGAGGAAGCGCGATGCTTGACTCCTGCCTGAACAGAATCGAGATTCCCGAACACTTGACAAGCGAGTCATGATAAAGTAAAAATCGTGACAAGCATTTGTCTAACAGTTAGGCTGTTCAAACATTGTGCACGACTCCTTGCGGATGTTAAGTTTCACCGTTTTCAGGCTCATTCAGTTTTCGGGCGTTGAGTTCGCACTCAGTGGGAAGTCGCGCAGTGGAATATATAGTCTGAACATGCCTCTAACCATTCAAAGAGATATTGTTAGTTACTGAATACCCGTTTCATCTCGGAGGTTGTTTTGGATCTGGTGTTAATATGCCAGATGAAGTCAATGCATTAGTCCCAGGGGTTAAATTCTTGTACGCCAGTTTGCGCCGCTTGTGACGTCAAGATACGCGCGTCTCAAAATACAGTATGGGTTGTGTTGCTGCGCGGTCAGTTTCTATGGCGCAGACTGGATCCGATGGTTTTTCAAGGGGATTATGGGGTTTTGGGAGAAGCATTTGGTACTTCAGCTGTGCTACGCACCCAGCATTACCTACTCACGCGTCATAAGTTACGCTAGTTAGGACAAGTACTTCGCATGTCCTAGGACCGCTTACCTCGTAAGGCCCTTTTTACCCGACCCTTTACTGAATGGCGAGCACTGTGACCTGGCAATTACTAGTAAACTCGGTCAGATTACGAACTGCGACCTCTCTGTACGAGGAATCCTGGGGTTCAAGTCGTCAACGCTTAATGACACTGACAGACAGTCACGCAATCGGTGGCATTCCCGCATCATCTCGTTGTTGAATGTCATCTTGAGGTACTGAGTCTTAGAGACGTTCACCTGATGCAGTCATACTCTTTACCGTGAGTAATGATGCGGACAGTGCTTTCTTGTCACGTATGAGATCAGTTAGTTGAGGGCCAATATTTCTCAAGCATATTCAATCGAGTGGATCCCAACTTTGACCACCCGGATCTGGTCCTCCACGGATATCTGTGTGCTCGTTGCTGACGCTTTCCCTGATAAACGGCACGCCTATTGCTTCAGAATGGGTGACATAAAAGGATGATTTAGATGACTAAAAACAACCCTCCAGCTGTAACATATTTTTCGGTGTCTAGCTGCTGCGCCACACAAAGAAAGCACGATGGTTGTGATACTGCCGGGTTGTCCAATCCCAGACAGAAGCGGTCTAGATGCCGGACCTCTAGCCAGTAAGCTTGCATATTAACCACTTCACTACCTCGAGCTCAAAACACAGGCTGATTTCCGTGAACTCTACCAGAAATTAGTAAGCCCACTGCTTTCTAGTTTCCTTATGGGCGAAAATTTTCGATCGAAGTGTTCAGACTAGTCTGAGTTTGAATCCTTTTTTTTTAATTTAGATTAAATTTTGAACTATATCCTGTTAGGATTATCCCGATAGGATTGATCTAATAGGAACGTTGAGGACCCCCTAAATTTGCTTATGTCTATCCAGAATGCATCCATCGAACATTCTGTGTTATATATCTGCCTCGATCCCCATAACATTTGTGGTTTATTAACTGAAGTCCAGGTGAACTTGCTGCTGTCGTTCCGGTCACCCAATCTTTTATAGGTGAATCCAAATCTCCTGGCACAACTTGAAGCTGCTGGTGTTTATTATGGTCCTGAAGGCAGATTCGGACGTGGTAGCGCGGTTTTATCCAGTCCAAATTCAGCTGGTTGGTCCCATCGTCAATGGCCTATTCAAGGTGGTCAAGCCCTAGTCAATGGATCTCGACTCTCGTCATCTTCAATAGACGATAACTTATTGTTTACCGACGATTTACTCCTCACGGGGCACGAAGATGGCTCCGTTGTCTTTTGGCGTCTCAGTCCTGGGGGGTGTGCGCGACGTATTTATACTTTGCACACCTGTGTTCTTTTCGAGGGGGAATTCGGCCTTGTGGTAAGTGCGTCCTTGACACTATTTTTAGTGATTGTCCCGTGATCTGAACGCCCGATTTCGGTCGCCATCGTCCAACTATACCGTAAATGAACATTTCTCCTCGTTTCATTCCAGAGTCACGCCAGTGATTTAGATGAAGACGCTGATTCATGGCCGCCATTCCGACAAGCTGGAGTTTTTGATCCCTTTATGGATGACAGTCGGGCTGCTGTTCAGGTTGTTCGACTTGTCGGTAACACTCTTGCGGTTGGCGGGGCTGCTGGACAAGTAAGTTGTTGACGTCCCTGCGCCACCAGCTATGAAAGGGTCAAGCTGTTCTTGACAGTGGCGTTGCTTTTTTGCCCGTTTTATAACTGTTCCACTTGCAGCTGGTAGTCGAGATCATGTTGATCCATCTTGGTCTGCATTCTCTCCTGACGTGCAGAGGCGCTGTGGAGTGAAAATATACACTCAGTGGGGATCGGATTCTATCGAACGTCTGTTTTACAGGGCCTGGCAAGCACGCTACATATAACGCAAGTGCCCTGGGAGTGACGGATTCCTATGAAAGTGTTGATCGCATGGCTTGTTCACTCATGCTCGAGGTCGGAACGAACTGAGCAATCCCCGTGTTCTTTACTCTTTCCAGCGAATATTTTCCGGAGAAACACACTCGTAGATAAAGCCGATGGTAACGAAAGCTGTAGCTGAATTCCAGCTGTATTTCTCATCTATATTGTTGTGCAACCTAATGTGCTGCACAAAGGCCACCTCACATTTCAGTTTGGACGAAATTCAACTCCAGTTGGTGATTTGGTAGACCAAGTTACTTATTTCGTTAAGATACTTGCTCTGGGTGGCGTTTCTGGTTGATTGACTTAGACTGAACTGTGTTTAAATAGGTGTACACCAAGTGCACTGACATACGTTGGCTTCTGCAATGTCTTCCAGCTGGTAAGGCAAGCTTGGTTCTTTCAACTCGTGCTCTTAGTCTAGATAGTTGTACCGCGTACTCGTTCTTTTTGTCTCCTGTTCGTTCTCACTCATGTTTACGTTTGTTTTGGTAGTCTTGATGTTTCCTTCGTCGCAACCTCGATTGTCACGTCCATAAAGGTTTATGTCGATCGACATCCATTGGATCGTGTGGATTGATTCAAAAACTGACAGACCTTTGTTTTTGTACACATGCGTGTGTACTTCACTTTTGTGTGCCCATGCTCTAGCGATCAGCATAATTTCGTATGCGCATGGTTGAGCTTTTACCTCACTTCCTCAACCTTTGTTAGTATGCAAATAAGCAGGCTGTGTTTTTGCTGGGAACCGCATTCATTCCTTTGTTTGGGGGCGTAGTTGGTACCCATGTTGGTTTTGATCTTGTATTGAGCTAAACCCTCATCAGTTACGTGTGACAGTTAGCCTGTACTGTCATTTTTTCGTCTTGAGGTCGTGACCACATCTCTGTTTTCCTAATCCACAAATAGGTAACTGTTTGGCAGTTTTTGGACTACTCGCCTCCACTTAGCCCTACATCCTTACCTATCAAGCCAGAACTGCCGGGATTTCAATGGAAAGGGTATGCGCCTTTAAAGGTATGTTGCTTGCATTATTGCACAGCTTATCTTGGTTTCAACTGCAAAAATGGTATTCGCGCTGACCTCACGTGTCGTCCATGTTTTGGTTTCTGGTCGTGAAAAAGTAACCCACAGGAACGAATGTGAAGCCTTTGACACACTCGTTTGAGAGTGGGGAGGCCAACAGGTCCCACCGATTGGCTACTACTCGAATGACGATCGAGTGTAGTGCAGCGGAGTGCTCATGGAGAACGTGACATAAAACCCCGTGATTGCCAGGTCAGGTAGTGGTTTGCCCCCTACCACTAGATTAAGGTAACGTGCGTCCCAAGTAACGTGAATTGTTGAAAGGTAAGCTCGTCTTACTACACATTAAGGGTCATCCCCAAGCTATGACTGCTTTAAGTCGAGGGATGATTTGTGCACTCGAAACTGACGTTTCAGAGCATTCTAATGTGATTCGATCAGTGTAGAACCTCGAGCCTTTTAATTCCTATAGAATACAATTGCTTCCCATTTGTTTACTAGCTGCACACAACCCAACAGCGTGATCTTGTGGCTTTTTGCTGCACTGTAGCGTCAAGCGTGTTTTTGCGGCGAGTAATTACGGCGTTATTCATTTTTAGATGGATTTGGTGCGTTTGTTGTAGTATGGAACAGAAGAGTATGTGTTCACCGAACAGCGCGGTCAGAATTGCGAATGGCCTTGTCTATATGACACTCCAGTCCCGATGTAAATCTCAGATATAGTGGTCGGGGTTAGACTCTCCTACAGACGGATTTAAGATATTTGTATCGAAGCAGGTTTGGTGTTCTATATGTCACATTATTTGAGGTCTCAAACGGATTTGTGGATGGTTGGTTCTATCAAGTTTCAAATTGAACTGATACTATTATCCCCCGGAGGTGAATTGGGATAGCTGTTATTCCGCACAAACCAGAGGCATCTATATTCTCTCAAGAGCTAACATGCGAGGAGCGTTTTTGAAAAGAGAATCAGCGCTCTGCATCAGTTTTTGGTTTGGTCGCCGAGCTTGGCAATCAATTTGCAAACAGAGAGACCTATCGAGCTACTGGAAACGACGACGTCAGATTAACCAATCAACCAAGAGAAAATCAGACCATAACGCAAGATTCCTCTGCTGACACAATTGAAAGATTCCTTTGCGGAAGATAGAAACATGATATATATATATATATA